AAAACAAATTGCAAATGCATTCTGCGATCACTTTACAGACGTTGGAGAAAAAATGGCTTACAAAATAAACAATAAAAACATGGTAAAAAATATTAAACAACAAAAAATAAGCAAAACAATTTATCTTTCAGACACCGATGTAAACGAGGTAATAGAAACCATAATGAGTTTAAAAAATAACAAGTCACCAGGGCTAGATGGCATTCGATCAGAAACCTTTAAAACAGTATGTACACAAATAGCACCTGTGTTGACATTCTTAATAAACAAATCAATAAATGATGGTAAGTTTCCAAGGATATTAAAAATTGCAGAACTTCTACCTCAGTTTAAAGATGGAAATACTATGGAAACTGAAAACTATAGACCAATTTCACTAATCTCTAACGTAGGAAAAGTGTTTGAAAAAATATTACAGAAACGAATAGCATCATTTATAAAAAAATATAACATATTATCAGATAAACAGTACGGGTTCCGTGAAAATATGTCAACATCGGATGCAATAACCAGGTTACTAGGAATGATAAACAATGCTTTAGACAAAAAACAACCTTCCATTGCCATTTTTGTTGACCTGGCTAAGGCATTCGACACCGTCGATCACAAGAAGTTATTATCTGTCCTAGAAAATGCGGGATTTAGGGGTATTGCTTACAAGCTATTTGAGAGTTACCTGAACGAAAGAAAACAGTGTGTGAATATTAGTGGAACTCACAGTGATTTCAGAGTTGTAAAATATGGAGTACCACAGGGAACAGTCCTAGGACCAATTCTATTTAATATATACTTGAATGATATATTTCTACAAGACACAAAAGGTGATATTGTGAGTTTTGCTGATGACACCGCGGTCTTCTATAAAAATGACAATTGGTCAGCTCTCAAAAATGACATTGAATTTGACTTTGTTAAAATAGTTAATTTTTTTGAGAGCAGACTACTTACAATAAATTATAAAAAAACCTTTTTCTTACCGTTAACTTCATATAGCTCCGACTGTATCCACAAGAGAAATGCTTCATATAAAAACAACAAATAAAATTAAATATCTCGGAATTTTCCTTGATTCCCATTTAAGATGGGACCATCAAATAAACTATTTAATAAAAAAACTAAGATTTGTACTATATAAACTTAAAAATATTTCTAACATCCTAAAATTAACTTACCTCAAAATTCTTTATTATGCATTAGTCGAAAGCCATCTAACGTACGGTCTTATTGCTTGGGGATCGACTGGTCAAACTCTTATCGAATACCTACAAAAAATTCAAAAAAGTATTTTAAAAGTTTTATTTCACAAACCCAGAACCTACCCTACAATTGAGCTTTACCAAGAAACTGGGGTGCTAAATATTTACCAATTATACGTAAAAGTGATTTTACTAAAACAACATAAAGATAAAGCCACTTTAAAGTCAATCCAACATAGCTATCCAACTAGATATAAGGAAAGCGCTGCCGTAATACCCAAAATGAAAAAAGCTATAGGAAAAAAAAGTTTTACATACCTGGCTCCAAAGTTGTATAACCAATTACCATCTTGATTTAAAAAAAATTAACTCCGCAAGTTTATTTAAAAAGAAAATAAAAAATTGGATCCTATCTTTTCCGACTGCTACATTGCAAAACTTTATTTCGCCGCGAAATGAAACCGTTAACGGTTAAACAACTTGAACCAAAATGAAGAGATAAATTTAAATTTGAAAATATTAATATTAATAAAATTATGATTTAGCAAGTTGTAAACATCCCGAAATATATAATTTTGGGAGTGAGGATGACCAGGAACTTGTTGGATACGTTGTGGACAATGAGCACTGATGATGGCAAATAAGCCGAAAGCGCTTTGCATTGATTAATAAAAAAGTTTTGCACGAAATACAAGTTTTTCCTTTTTGAATATTATGATTTTGCTGAAACATAGCCGCCCTCACTCCTTACCCATGGGGTATTATTAAGGGATTAGGAAGGATTATAGTCGGGAATTGTATGTACTTAATTTCGTCTTAATTTCGTTATTGTTCCCTGAAAAAGCTAGAAAAAACAGGGTTGTCGTTAGTGGTGTGTGGTCTTGTGTTAGTCTATGGTTTTTTGTCATAATTCACTGTAAAACTTGGATCGTAATGATTTTTCACTTTTTTTATTATTTTCGTTATTTTGATAATATCATTTTTTGATTAAATGGACTGATATAAAAAAAATTATGTGCTATAATTATTTGCATAACAAATTCCTTGTTTAGACCATAAAATATGATGAAAACAATTAAGAGAAAAAAAATTTTTTTTTGCAGACCAGTGTTATTTGACATTGGATTTAAATCGTTCCAAAGATCGATTTTTTTTTAAGATTCATCTATGGGCTACTTAAAGATATATAAAATTATGAATATTATTTTTTGTATCGATTATTTGAGTCGATTTAAATTGATCTAAAGATCGATTTTTTTTATAATTCATCTAGGGGATACTAATAAAGGATGTTATTTTTTGTATCGATTATTTGACAGTCGATCTTTGATATTTTTTTATTTGCCTAGGAAGCTACTAATCAACTATAGGGACCGTGCGTGAAATATAGAGGCAACACTACTGCCGAACTTAGCCCTCTCTAGTATTTAATTTTAGAATTAAATGGGGTAAACATTGCAAGTAAATAATAAAGGTTATTTTTTTAAATATTAAATATAGTTAAAAATAGATACCGGCCCGTACCAAACAATCGTGTACATGGTCAAAATAACGTAAAATGTGAAACATTATTAAAATCTGGACATGCATATACATTTTAAGCAAAAAGATTTAAATGGCTAAGTGATAATAAATTGTAAAGTTATACCTTAAACAAGTGTATCCAATGTTAAAATATCGGTATTTAGTAACACTGAATTTAAAAGTATTACAATAACATTTAAAAAATGTAAATTAATAAAAAAGATTGATGATAATAATAATTATAAATCTTTTTAGCTTTATGTTAATCGAAATGTCATTCATCCACTGACGTTTATGAGATGTTCAATGATACATATTATAGATTGCTCACCCATCTATAACAAAATTATGAAAAGCGGGTTGCAATGTGCCTTTCCTAGTGCTCACTAAATAGAGCCGTTCTAGCCCAAATATGTTTTAAAATAAAATTTCAGCATTTTAATCTTTAGAAAAAGAAAATAATTAAAGTTTTACTTCAAGACATGTCATTATGTATTTGGAAAAATGAGTTTTCATGTAGTTAAATAATATTAAGAGATCTAAACAATTTTTATAACAGATGGATATAAATAATTTTAGACTACTATTTCAGAAACAATTCTACATAAAATACATAATTGCAATATGTAATTCAATTTTGAAAAGGTAATGTAAACAATTTTGATATGAGGTACAAACAACTTTGGTAAGAGTTGTAATTGGACACTTATCTATTATTCTGAATAATGTTTAATGGTAATGTCACTAAAAAAATTTACAAAAAATCACTGGATTTTTAATATTTTAAAGTTTGTTACAATCTCTTTTGACAGTAATTGCAATGTATTATTTATGATTTGTTTATTTTAATAATAAATGAGAAATAGTTAATAAATTGTAAAGAGGGCCGTGATATTTTTGTCAAATTGGACATTCTTATTTCATAATAGAGAGTTATTGCAAGTTCAGTTAAGGTCAGTCATTATTAGTGCCGCTCTTATTTTGACATCTGAGCATGCGCAGATCACTAACTTTAATAAAGATTGTTCCTGTCCTTAATAAGAAAGTTATTGCAAGTTCACTTAAGGTCAGTCACTATTAGTGCCGCTTTTATTTTGACATCTAAGCATGCGTAGATGTTTATGTTCTAAAACTGACTTTATTATTAAGGATTATGCCTGTCCTTAATTGTGGATGTTTAAGGACAGCAGGTAGTGTCGACTTTATAGTTTTCGGATGCGCTCGCCGACATTCGTATCCGTTACAAGTTTTTTAATATTAAATATTTACTATAATCGTCATTTAAACCTTCTAAAATTATAATTTGTAATGCCTCTTTAATATTATAGACAACAAAAAAGATTAACTATAATTTAAAGTTTAGTGGCCTAACAAACCACTTAACGTGACAATATCGAGTATTTGCCCGCCTATTTAAATCGATCCAAAAATCGATATTTTTTTAGATTCGCCTATGAAGCTACTAATCAACTATATGGATATGAAATTATGAATATTATTTTTTGTATCGATTATTTGATAGTCGTTTTAAATCGATCCCAAAATCTTCTTTTTTTTTGTTAATATATTGTTCTATAAGCTACAATTATGAATATTATCTTCTATATCGATTATTGTACACTACATTTAAATCGATCCAAAGATCGATTTTTAAGATTCACCTATGGGCTATTTAACAAAGATCTATGAAATTATGAATATTATTTTTTTGAGTCAATTACTTTAAAATCGATTTTTTAAGTAGTCCTTGGGTTTTTAGGTATTAGTAGAAAATGAAACTCGTGTGTATGTGGTTAAAGCTTTCGGCACTGATCATTGTCTTCTTCAGTAGTTTCTTATTGGTAAAATATTTTTTTTGTTATTTAAAACTATTTTTTTTTTTTAATTATGAGTTTACATCCGACAATTCTTTGGTACAAAGTTTAGGGTGTATCATTGAAATTGTTAAAATTCTTTTTTTTTAATATTGTTTTATTTCCTTTAACTCTTGTCATGCCCGTTGATGTGGTGGTATTTATGTCCGTTTTAGTGTATGGGACATAAAGAATATTTTACCAATAAAAAACTACTGAAGAAGGCACTGATTAACCACACACACGAGTTTCATTTTCTACTAACGCCTAAAAACCCAAGAACTACAAGAAAAAAAAATTATAAAATAAGGTGTAAGAATTTTAGAAAAGAAAGCAGAGCCTTCCTTCTGAAAAGTACCGATTTTTTTAAGATTCGTCTATCTATGGGCTACTAATCATCAATATGAAATTGTGAATACTATCTTACCGTCCTAATTCAGCTTTATACTGCGACTCCCTATGCTGGTGGGCGACTTTTTCCGGAAACTGGGCGTTTTCGGGCAAACTATCCGGCGGCGACGGTTGGTTCTTGCAATGTTTGAACCATTCGCTAAACGCTTCTTGTGCATCCAGGTAAGCTTTGTAGCACAGATATTCTTTAATGGTTTGATTGACAGTATCGTTGACTGCACCTTCCGATAGAATTTTGTCTACAGAATCCGATGGTACTTTATTGAAAGCCAGCTGGGCCGCGTCCAATTTTCCCAGCGTCAAAAACGTGAAAATCAACGCGTTTATTTGGTATAAGGCTTCGGCTCTTTGTTCTTCGCAAAATAGGATCCAATCCAAGCACGAGATTTTGTATTTGTCTATTTCCGTGATTTTGTGCTAAAAATTATGGGATTTAATATTTATGTTTTCTTATGGTTCTTGATTACATTTACTAGGACTTAAAATTTTATTAAAATCCTGCTATAAAATGTCCATGTCCATGAAAGATTAAGTTCTAGACGTTTTGGCTATCATCTTGATCTCAATCTATCAGATAGCGATGCTAGGTATGAATATTTAAATCCTAGATGTACCTAACATCCTCTTCATGTTTTGTGGTGAACGAATTTAGTTTTAGATGAGCACTATCTTGTTTATCCTCAATAAAAATGCATACTAACTTAAATATATTTAGTTAAATTAAAAATAAATTCTAGTTTTTGTATATAAAAGAGAACAAAATATGTTTTTTCTACGAACTCTTAAGCCTTGGTTTCTTTGAACACTCCGTCGCGGTGAGCGGACAGTCCGTCGACCGCTGAGGACAGCAATTTTCGCCCGAGGTGGTTTGTTAAAAAATATAGAAAATGATACTTTCTCTATGTCTGTACGTGCTGTTCATGTATTATGAATGTAAACGAAAGGTACTACAATGGATGCAAATAAATTGTTTGCGTTGTTATTATTGTTGGAAGAGGAAGAACAAGAGGAACTGGCAATTGCAACCGTTAAAGTTTCCAATAAGCCAGTGGATGAGTTGTTTTTGTGTCGCGATACAGAAGGTGCCTTTAATATCACTGTGCAGCGGAGGCTTTTTGGAAATGAAACCAAATTTAGGGAGTATTTTAGACTTTCTACAGATCTTTTTGAATTCGTGTTGAGTTTTATAAAGGACATAATTTCCAAGAAACCTAAAAATAAAGTCATGATGTCATCTGTATGTGTGATTTTGTCACTCATTGTTTTAAAATTATTAACAATATAGTCTCCGCACACGCCGACGATTCCGCTGATATCAAACTCAACAGATATCAACCGACTCTTCGCGACAAATCAGCGGCATGATGCCGTCCTGCTCTGCTAAGCGGATTCAAGAAAACCATTCCCATTTAAATACTCTGGTTGGATAAAATCGTGAAAACGCGACGGTTGACGGACTGTCCGCTCACCGCGACGAAGTGTTCAAAGAAACCAAGGCTTTACAAAAAGACATCTTTCGCCACAGGATACTTTCAGCGAAAACTTGATTTCCGTCACTAGTGAGAAAAAATCCCATAACGTTTACTTTCGTCTCTAGTGACGAAAGAAAGTTGTTACATATTTTCATATATCAGTCGCCTCGTAAATATTTTGGCAGCTTATAATTATTAATAATGAAATAAAAAGATGCTCATTAAATTCTATATGCGTTTTTACCTAAACTTTAATGAATTAAAGATAAAATAAAAATGTATAAAAATAGTGCAAATTAAACTAATCTACATCTAGTTTCCTGGTTTTCATTTGTTTATTTGAAGTTTTATCACTTTTGAGAACTGTCAGTTTCAGTTCGTCCTAAATTTAACACATTTTCATGATGTCTGAGTCAGAAAGCGATTGTACTCCCCCAGAAATTATTTTTAAAGCTGAAGAAACCTCTTCAGATTTATTACTGGCCAAATCAAAAAAGAGATATGAAGAAATTTATATCAAATTTTTGGACTGGAGAGAAAAAAATAAAGTGAAATCATTTTCGGAAACTGTACTACTAGCATACTTTGGAGAAATATGTTCAAATTTTAAACCGTCGACGTTATGGTCCATTTATTCGATGCTAAGAACTACACTCTCTGTTAAAAATGATGTCGATATTAGTAAATATCCAACGTTACGTTCGCTTTTGAAAAGAAAATCTGATGGTTTTAAAAGCCAAAAATCCAAAATGTTTTCGCCTGAAGACATAAAGACTTTCCTAAAGAATGCACCTGACTATAAATATTTAATAACAAAGGTAACGGAATTATTATTTTTATTTTAACAAATACTTAATACATAACTACTAATATTTGTAGGTAGCATTAGTTTTTGGATTATCTGGCGCTTGTCGTTGCCACGAACTAAAAGATTTAACAATAAGCGATGTAAAGGATACTGGAAGTATTCTGTTAGTTAAAATCCGTAATACAAAAACAAAAGTTCCGCGTTCTTTTCATATTTCTGGATCCTTTTATGATATTTCTAAAAAATATATGAGCCTACGTCCCGCAAACATGGATCAAATTAATTCAAGATTCTTTATTAACTATCAGAATGGAAAGTGTAGCAGACAGGTTGTTGGAATTAATAAAATCAGTAAATTTCCTAACGAAATTGCTTAGTTTTTAACGCTTCCGAATCCTCAAGATTACACTGGGCACTGTTTCCGCAGAATATCAGCAACGCTATTAGTGGATGCAGGAGGCGACTTGCTTCTGTTAAAAAAGCACGGTGGTTGGAAATCTAGTAGTGTTGCGGAAGGATATGTTGATGAATCCACGAACAGTAAAAACCAAATACAAACCAAAATTTTACAATCTGTACAAAATAAGGAAACTACTAGTTCATCCGATTATGGCGCATCATCATCTGAAATGACATTTAACAGTAGAACAAATATGTCGGCATCTACCTCAATAAATAAAAAGCTTGAGTGTGATACCCCCATAATTTTGAACAATTGTTCAATATAACAATAAATCAATATTTAAATAATAAATAATATTTCTGAAATATTTAATTGTTGGTTAATTTTTTGTTATTCCTAACACAAAATAAAGCATTTGCTAACGTTTGTTTTTTTTTTTCATTTTATTAGGTACCTACATGACATAATAGAGTTCGTAGAAAAAGTATAGTGTTTTACTCATCGAAAATCATTTTTTGAAGCTCGCGAACATTACCAACCTCGGCTTCGCTTCCGTTCTCTCGCTTCAAAAAATGTTATTTTCGTCACTCGTGAAACAATATACTATTATTTTGAATTTTTTTGCACAATAAAAATAAATAAAAATATAAAAAGAAATAAAAATAAATTAAATAAAAATCATAAATAGAAATAAATTAAATTTAATAAAAAATATTAAAAATGAATAAAAAATAATAAAAACTAATAAAAATTAAAAATTAAATTAATAAAAATTAATAAAAATTAATAAAAACTAATAAAAATTAATAAAAATTAATAAAAATTAATAAAAATTAATAAAAATTAATAAAAATTAATAAAAATTAATAAAAATTAATAAAAATTAATAAAAATTAATAAAAATTAATAAAAATTAATAAAAATTAATAAAAATTAATAAAAATTAATAAAAATTAATAAAAATTAATAAAAATTAATAAAAATTAATAAAAATTAATAAAAATTAAATTAATGAAAATTAAAAATTGATGAAAATTTTATAAAAATTTGGCAGGTATCGCATGAAAACATTTCTCTCGAGTCACTAAAACTGTTATTCACTTTTAATAATTGAGGTTTGAGAAATTCCAGTGAAGCGGGATCGGGGCAGCTAGAAATAAATAAATACCTGTAAGTTTCCAGTCTCTTCAGTTTCATGCGGAATATTCCTGACGTTTTCGACGACTTGTTTGGTAATGGCCGTCACGTTCAAACCGCTATCTTCGGCGTACATGAGTGCCGATTTACGTTCCTCTTGATCGATGATTTTTTCCAAATACTTCGCGTACGTATGAACCTGATTGCTCGGGCTGAGTTTGCTCACGTAAAACGCCACCAATTGAGTTTCGTTCAATTGTATTAATCGTTTGATGTAGCTGGAAAACAAAAGAAGACTTTTTTAAGGTGAAGGGGGAGAAAAAGTCCTTTATATCTCACAAGGGAAGGTTATGTTTAATTATTCAGTAAAACATTGAGTGCGACCGGTTTCGAAGTATCATCACTTCATCTTCAGGCTCGCCTAGTGGAAAGGAGAATATGTGGTGTAAGGTGTGTTAACTTTGAGCCAACGATATATAAAATAGTAAAAAAGAAAACTCACCATACTCTCCATCCACTAGGGAATACTACAAACAAGTTTCATCAAATGTGGGGGATGAAATAAATTGTAAAATAAACAATGTTACAAGTTATATAAAAGTTAAAAATATTTGAAAAATAAATATTAGTCAGTTTAAATAGTTAAAAATTTAAAATTTTCAAGACTATACAAAACAAAACACATAAATTAAACAGATTAAAAGAGAAGGCTTATTTTAAACACCTAACATTTTTTGAAAGGAGACCTGTCAAGTTAAGGCCTCTACAGGTGGTGGTAAGTAATAACAAAAAATTCTTGGATAAACTTATGACAGGGTATAGGTAATAAGATGCAAACTATGAGTGAAGAACTATTTATTAATAATAAATATTTCTTCTCAAAATTTTAAATTTTTAACTATTTAAACTGACTAATATTTATTTTTCAAATATTTTTAACTTTTATATAACTTGCAACATTGTTTATTTTACAATTTATTTCATCCCCCACATTTGATGAAACTTGTTTGTAGTATTCCCTAGTGGATGGAGAGTATGGTGAGTTTTCTTTTTTACTATTTTATATATCGTTGGCTCAAAGTTAACACACCTTATACCACATATTCTCCTTTCCACTAGGCGAGCCTGAAGATGAAGTGATGATACTTCGAAACCGGCCGCACTCAATGTTTTACTGAATAATTAAACATTAACTTTCCTTGTGAGATATAAAGGACTTTTTCTCCCCCTTCACCTTAAAATTACCTCAACTCACACATGGCTACCCCCCTTGTCAACAAAAGAAGACGTTACAATGAAGAACCCAGCTTAGGGACATCATGTAGAGACGACCAAAAAGTATGTTACAGAAAATCGATAAGTATAAAAAAGACATAAAATACTTAAAACGTAACATATAAAACGCGACAAATTATTATACCGTACAAGATAGTAGATAGTAAGCTACTTGGGTTCACTTTCATCAATTTTTTCCCAGATCTGGGGAAATTTGTGGAGTAGATATGGCAAAAGCGTACCCCATGATTCAACGATAAGTGCTTCCGATAATTCTCGCGAAATCCCGTCGGAGAATGATCTTTGCTCATAGTTGGTTCGATGTTGTAATGAAGAACATAGAAGTGTTTTCGCCGAGTAAGAGTTAGAAATATGATCTTTTCGAAAAAAATGTGTACCCGTTCAAATCTGTATAGCTAGGCATCCAGACTACAGTACAGTATTCAAGAATGATTCGAAACAAACAACTATAAAGATTCCTAATGGCCTTGATATCACAAATGTGACCATTGTAACTGAGCATTCTAAATGTCTTGCAAACAATAGATTAAATGTCAAGGATGATGCCTAATATAACATTATCTACTCTATGAACATTTTTGATAATGTTGGAGATTCTTGTAAATTGAATCGTAGCACATTTACCAACGTTAAGAGACAAACGATTAATTTTGCACCATTGGTGCGTCCAGTTGTTACCTCAGAATTAAACTATAAAGGCAATTACAACAATTTACCATATCCAAATGTAATACACAAATTTAGTCTGTTTGATTAACAGTCTGGCGGCCAGTTTCGCTCGGAGTGGAGAAAGCGTGGTCCGTTTGATATCAAATATACAGCGTTCAACACTAAATAGGACAGTTCGATTTAAATATACCAAATAACTACATTACTTGTCCCCAAAATCATAAATCTAACAAACATTAGGAACAAAATAAGGCAAAGAAAATTTCTGCTAATGTATAAATATGTAACTCCAAGTTTTAATACAAATACAGATCAATCTCACTTAACAAAATATAAAAAGAAAAAAATGTGGTTATAACGTAATAAACAGTATGATATGTCCAAAGGACAGATATCAAAATAGTAGGATTATCAGAAATTGAATAGATAATCCACCTATCGCATATTTAAATCAAAATCAAAGAAATAGGGTCATAACTCATAAGTGTCGGTACCAATAAGGCGTGTCCTAACTGCACGGAGTGAAGAAAATATCAATACGTATCGTCAGTTGATTTCAGTGTTACTAGTTCAAAATAATAAAAAAAAATACTGGAGCATATAACTAAGCCAATACTGAAATGTTTCAGATTTGATTCTAAGGCAAAGTTATAACTGATCTTTATACTATAAAATTTTGGGTCGTCTGCAAATGTAAGAATCCATTTGTTAGTTCATTTATAAATAATAGAAATTTAACTGGACCAATGCGCTAGTTCAGTGATGATGTAATTATGGTTCCACTGACAATTAAAGTGACAGTAGATTTTTTAAGTGCGTTTTGTTCGTTTTTTTTACCTAAATTATATCGTTTTTTCACTTTTATAGATATATTCCTAAAGTAAGTAGATAACATGCATCAAATATACAATCGTTTAGTTACCAATTACATACCTTTCAACTATTTTTTATGACCTGTAAACAATATTTAGAAATAAACTTAAAAGAGTAAAAACGTATGTGTCAAATTTATTGATGTTTTTGTTAAAAGTTTGGTTAGAATTAAATGTCAGTGGAACCAAAATGACATCACACTGAACTAGCGCATATGGGAAACTTGAGAAACATTGGATGTCACTGATATATCACAAGAGACTGAATTATGAACCAAATCACACTAAGAGCGTTTTGTTAAGTAAGAATTTATCCATTTCAGAGATGCCAATTTAAGAAAAAGGACAACCTTGTTTTATCTACAGTTTTATTAGGGAAGACAACCACAAGAAAATTCATACAAGTTACCAGTTCAATTATTGATATTGCAAGAAAGCTGATATTGCCATATAATGCAGAAAGATAAGGAGATGGTATACATCAATACATAAATAATAAATTTGACGTTATGACAGACTAGGACAAAGTTCTCATTGTCCTGAAGCCAGACATTGGAAGATTTTTCAGCTCGAGGTGTCGCGAGTGTGAAATTTACCTTCTGTTGTTAATATGCCTAGGTAAATGATATGTAAACATTTTTAAAGTAATGCAAGCTAATTTGAGAAAGTTTCTGAGCTAGCAACTTGTAACAGACACTATCGAATGCTTTAATATCTTAATAGCTTCGACTGATGAAATTAAGTTATCATGGTAAGATTGGTAGCGGTTGAGCGACCTTTATAAAAGCTATGATGGTAAGAAGAAATATAATTTTTATACATGTAAAATAACAGTCAGACTAGATAGTTTTTGATGTCAGAATTTGGAGACTATGGAAAATATATTGCTATCGAAAGATATTTGTAAAATTATATCCAGCAATAAAGAAATCGAATAACAGCAAGTATTTAGTATCTAAACTATTTACTCTTTAACAGTGAGTGTGTGAGAGGATAAAGTTTGAAAAAAAGGATGTGATGAGTCTATTGTGGCATCGTCTGAATTGCCAATGAGAAATCAACAAATCAATTCATGTAAAACTATTTTATTATATAACATGGGTGTATTATAAGATTGTAGTATAGTATTATCAATAATGCTATAGAACTCCTATAGCAGTGAATTAGGAAAATAAAATGTCCTAGAAAAATGTAAAAATCTCTCACAGATGAAGTAAATATTAAACAAACGAAAAATCAATAAAAAAATTGTTAAAATAAAAAAGCATTAGCTTCGTGGCAGCACAGTAAGGAGTTTGTATTAACTTTTTTGACGTACGTCAAACGTCATGTTAGAAAGTCGCATCAAATGTCAAATGTCGAGAGTAATAAGGCAAATGTCAAAATCACTAAAAAACAAAATTAACATAATGGATAATTAATACAAATGGCAAAAATTACATTAGAAAAAAGCATGGCAATCACACTGACATATATAAGTGTATTAAATAATACTTAACACATTTCAATTGCTTTTTCTTGTATTGTAATTGTGAAAAATTCACCTTCCTAGATTATTTCAAAAATTTTCTATGTAAATAAGGCTCTTTTGTAGCTCAAAATTAGTTATACTTCCGGTCAGTTATATATAGGGTAAGCAGTTTAAAAAAAACTCATTTATTTTTAAAAGTGTGCAGATTTTGACTAAAATTGGTATCAGAGTATTTCAGAAATCAAAGATGTTTTAAAAAATTCAAAATGGCGTTGAAAGGAATTGTATTTAATAAAAAAAAGGTCCCCCTTGAATGGAAACAATAAAAAGGGTCCTTTTGGTTTGAATAATTGGACCATTCTAAAAGCAGCCAATTAGACGAAAAATGGTGGAATTAAGAGGAATATTGATAGAGAGAGGAAGGTGAAATAGTTATTTATGTATCAAGGGAATTATAAGGGCCTTAATTACCGATGGCAAAGTTTGGGTCCCGAGGGACAGCAATTGCCGTATGTTGTCTACTTTGCCATTAAAAGACAGGTACCTCGACTGCAGTGAACAGAAGATCCAGCCATACAAAAGAAGAAATTGTTTGCAGTGGCGGTAGTAGTTTTCAGGGAACATTTCAAAATTCTACATTTATTATTTGTAATGACGCTAATAAATAAATTATGGTTCAGTTTTCATTTCATAAATATATCTTATTTTTACCTGTGAAAGGTAGAGGGAATTATAGAATCTATAATGTCCCAAGGGAGTTATGACCCTCTTTATTGATAGCGTAACTATGACGATATAAGCTTATAATATCCCTGTCAGAAATAAAAGGGTTTTTGGTTTGGTGGATTTGATTTTAAATTATTGAAATGTGTAAGTGTTTTTCGATTTCTATATCGAGAAAAGTTCTGGATCAAAAACTTTATCGATTTTTTTTTTTGCTTATTGACACTATTTGTGCTTTACGTTTTTAAAAGTTGTACTTACTACTCCAAAACTTTTTCGGACACTTCGCGATTGTGCCCTTGGCCCACCTGTTCGAAAAACAACACCAAATGGGCCAGAAATCTTAGAAAATTAGTTTGCACGTTATCTTCCTCTATCCACTCCTCGAATTTCAAGAAAAGCGTCGGAATTTCATCTAAGATTATGTATTTCTGGATGACGTGGTCGGGTTTTCGAGCATCTTCTCGAACTTTGGCATTCTTAGAAGCTTCCAGATTCGAAAAGATTTCATTTAATGACATCCTAATAAAAAAAAATGTATTAATTGTTTATAGTTCGTCAAAATGATAAATTTTACCTTTGAGTCCAATATTCCTCCGGTAAAGCTAAATAGTCGCTGTTTTTCGCAACGCAATCTCTGATTTCTGATTCCACTCGAATATCAATCATGGTTTTCATATAGGCCCACAGGCAGTCTTCCCAGCTACCACAGACGGTTAAAATTGAATTTAAGTAACCGCAGAAACTCGCTACAGCTGCTCTTTCGTATAAACTTAAATAATCCTGCAAAATACATAATTAATTTGAGCAAATTAATTTAAGAAAACCATTTACAAGAAATATAGTCAGATCAGAAAAGAAGGAACAGATATTGGAATATAATGAAAGGGAAATAAACTACATGGGGATGCTACGGATTTAGAGATATTGTTCGAACAAGGATCAAGTATAGATAGATGTAACTATCGAAAATTTGAAATGTTTCTTTACAATGTATTGATCCTGGGAAGACAAGCTGAAGGAGATTGTCCCAAGAGAAGAAATTTAATATAAACCTACCACATGAATAAAATATTCAAATCAAAAGTGTAGGTATATTTGTATTACGCGCCATGTTAATATTAGTAACCATGTTGGTATTACTGTTTAGGGTGACACTTGACAGTTGTCAGTCCGTCACCTGTTTCCGTTTTTATTAGGCATTCCAACGACCTGTCCAAATGGCTACCAGTGGGTAATGACAGTTTAGATAAGGCAACCCTGTTGTCATGTTGTCATTAACAGGGTCAATGATACATATATAGTTATAAAGATTGCTCAAAGCTGGTCGTTTACGAGCGGCCATATTGCCTAGCAAATATTTATTAATTTGAATCGGTTTAGCAAAAATGTGTTTTAAAACCAATCTCTAGCCTTTAGATATTTAAAAAAAAATAATTGCTTACATTTTTACTTCAAGGCATAAGCTTATGTTTATTTTAAAAAATATGGTTGATCAATCTATGTAACTATCTATTTTATTGACCTTGTCAAATCACCAGGCCTACAGGGTTGCCATAATTTTGCCATATCATAACCCGTCAAAACCCACTGGTAGCCATTCAGTTTGGAATGCCTAATTAGATTAGATTATGATCTCGACAGGCGAGGTGCTTTTAAGGTTATGTTTTAGTTTTTCGCATGGAGTTAGAAGGTAGGGAGACGCTGTCACGTGGTCCAAGACGGGTTCACTTCCGCCATATTAGATTGACAAATACTTCAAACAGCTAATCGTGGTTTCAATGAACGGTTTTTCAATTTTTATGTCGTTTGCAAACTATATATTGTACATATTAAAAATTAAACATTGGTTGCTTGTGCTAAACGTATTTTTAACAACCTAATAGATATTTATATGAAGAAATGATCTGAAATAACATTCCACAACTAAATTTACAACATAGTAAACAATGTGCAGGGTCGTATTTGAGATATTTATTGTGCTTTGAGTGAATGTGTTGTAACCATATTAGGGTTTTGTAAAGATGAATTAAAAATGAGAGAATTTGTTGCAGTTGGTGCAAAAATTAGATTTAAAATAATCATAAATATTCTCTTTGTTAAATTCTATAAATTTACTTCAGTTTCATTATAAAAAGCATTTGTCTTTAAAAAAATATGAAAGTATAGAAACTTCTTTAAATGACATGGATAAGTATATTTCTTCCAACACTCTACAGTTTTTACCAATGTATAAAATATCTCAAGACCACATAGAATTATTCTTTGGCTGCATTCGCTCACATGGAGGCCACAACAATAACCCCACCGCCCGACAATTTCAGGCAGCTTATAAGAAAATATTAGTACATGTCGAAGTACGTGAAAGTTTTCGTGAAAATTGTATTCCGCTAGAAGAGCTCCGAATTTTAAAATGTCCCGTTCAACAAATTAACGAATCTTCAAGAGACTACAGGGCTCTTGGTTTATCAGAAAATTACTAAAGTGTGCTAGATAATACTGAGCATGATCATGATTATTTACCAAACCCTACGCTATCGGAATTTACGAAATATATTGTAACGTATATTGCTGGCTATTCGCTGTGTGCATTTGGCTTGGAGGGGATAGACTGAGCTATCGCAGCGCCTATGGTGGCAGGAGTCGGCGATTGTCCACATCATCGTAGTAGCGCGGCAGCGTGTTGTGGGTCTCGTGTTGGGTATTAAAATGAGTCGTCGTTATTGTAGTGTTGTCGAGTGTAAAAACACTAGCAAAAATAGTGCGTGTAAGTTTTATACGTTTCCAACCGCATCACATAAATTGGAGCAAAGAAAGAAATGGATAGCAGCTGTGAAAAGAAAAAGTGAGTAACATAACCTCTGTCGTATATATATCATAAACATCGAAAGTAGGAGCGGTATTTGAATGCTCAAGTAATAGTGATAAATAAATTATTTATAACGTAATAAATTTAATGGTTTTTCAAATTACATTGATTTATGACATTCAAAACGCAGATACTTCGTATGCATAACCTCCAAATATTTTTATGTCATTTACTTACTTTTTGTGCGACAGAAACAATTTTTGTTAGTCTATCAACTAACAGCGAACACAAAACTTGTTGCAACACTTAATTGTTGAAAAAGAATGTTCAAGTTCAACTGTTGAGTGTGAGGTGTATAGCAAGTATGCGGGAATGAATGAGGAGAACTGTCGCTATCTCGTCACCAGAGAGCGCTACCGGTCTTGCACACAGCGAATACTATATTCTCTTTAAAAAAAGCTTATTTGTGAGGAATGCGTAAATTCTTTATGTGCAGACCAGAAAGACCTACAAATATTTTCATTTATAGACAAAAAAAAAGAAAAAGAGTCTACAGTATCCCTCTGTGGATGTGATAGACGTGTGTCTGCAATGTGAAGAAATACTCAAAAAGAGAACTGTTAGTTCAAATTATCATCTTAATTCTGTAGACTCTATTGTATCTTCAGTGTTAAAGTCATTTATAAATAAAAATATATTTGCAAATTTGATAGCCCACGGTTTTGATCAGGATCCATTGGATAACCATAGAGTTCTGTTAATAAAAGCTTTAGCTACCAAATACACAAACATTAGGATGTGTTACCTTATTAAAAGTAAAATAAAAAAATGTGATAGCATAAGACATCACAATAATAAAATTGTATTGTTTAAGGGCCAATAATCATAATTTTTATATTGAATATTGATTTTGCCGTAATATATTTTCTATTAATACCTTAACAACTGTTTGATTATTTTATGTTAAACCGTGACATATAAAATGAAATGAGGAATTTTTATTTATTTTTTTTAACTATGTTACAGAAAGTCTCCTTTTACTTGCATTTTAATAATTTCTTAATACTTTTATTAAAACTGTTAATAATTATCCGTTTTATGATAATTAATTTATAACTTACAATTAATTAAAAAAGCAAATTAGGGTTTGAGTTGCATTACCAATAGTCCAGCCCTGGCAGAACGGCCATATTGGAATGACTGTCACCACGACTACAGTTCATCAAATTTCTAGAGGCTTTCGACGGCTAGACAGAGAAAGCACTACTGACAGGCATCCCGACGGATTTACGCAATGAAAGTACACTCTGCGCATCAAGTATTTCACTATTTCATTCAGACGTAAATGTCAGATGTAAATTTCGCTAAAATATTTCTTTTATTTTCGTTTGTATTTTTTGCTCATTACAGTTTAATAGAACCTAAGTATGGGGTTTAATAGCAAATTAAGAGGCCGCGTGATTAACAGTCAATCTCGCGAAATAATAGCCAATGTTATAGAGTTTATGAGAAGAGAAGGAAACTTTAATTCACCTTCAATACCATTTAAAAATGTAAATGATCGTGTTGCTGCAGCCACAGGAGTATCTAAAAACACTGTCGTCCGCATTTCTGGAGAGAAAAAAAGAATCGATAACCGTGAGATATCGGAATTTTCATCACCAAGAAAAACCATTAAAAAACCAAAAACAGTTAATGATATAGATGAAGCTGCACAAGAATCAAATTTTATTTTTTTAATATTAGATAGCTATTTTTGTTTCTGAGTTGTGTTCATTTACAGGCTCAATTTTTTTCCGTTTCTCCTTTTTGATTTTATATGGGGTTTCAAGTTGTTTTTGACTTATTTCGACGTAAATCACAACAACACACTTTTTTAATAAAGCAAACAAGTGTTAAGAGGTATATGTACGTGTAAACTACAATTACAAAAAATTGATATGAAACCCATGAAACCACCAACAAAAATGTAAAGCTAGCTTCCGTACTAGAACATGGTGTCATTCGTCGAGATAATTTATCGTTTTGTTTAATAGATCAAGAAATGTAAATATTCCCCTGTTATTTTTTATAAAATTATAAGAGAAATAATTTTTTTTCTAAATAGTATAGTTTATTATTTTGTAGAAAAACAAAATTTCGAAAATTTTAGTAATGTTTCAGAAACAACCGTTATTAATAATAGGTACCATTTTCCTTAATAAGGTAGAAATAAAATATAAACTATTTCCACGATTTACAAAGGCCTACAAAAAAATTATAGGTATTTTCCGATATCCTATAAAATTTATATTTTCTGACTCAATTTCAAAAGGTTGAAGGAATTCCAAAACACCTTTTATGGCATAATAATTATTTTCAATTCTACATACTATCTTTAGCTGCTTTTAAAAACGTTCTAAGAAAGTCCAATCAGACCAATTTAATCCCTAAACTATTCGACACTTTTAAAATTTAATTACCTAAAAATATTAAAAACTATTTAAAATAACTTGTTTAGCAGACTGTACAATAGCTATCTTAGTCACACGTAGCGCGTTCTCTGTCTGGGCGTCGAACACCTCTAGAAATTTGATGAACTGTAAGTGATACCGTTTTGAATGTTTGAAAAAGATGCTCATAGCGTCTCCCTACTTTCTACCTCCATGGTTTTTCGCTTTGAATATAAAACCCCAGGAAGGAGCTGATTTTAAAGAAATAGTTGACGAGTTGGCCCTTCAATATGGCGGACGATCATTTCCGCTTTGACAGAGGCGTGCGATAATGATTATTCAAAATTAAAGACACACATCTTAATAGGATAAACGTTTATGTTATTATTAATAATATTATTTATAACATAATTTAATGACCGGGACTAGTTGCATGTTTTGATGTGTCCGAAATGCCCCAAAATTACTAATTTGTGTGTCACTACAATTTGTACTTATTTTTTTTCCAAATTAAAAGAACAAAAATAAAAACTATTTTACTAATAAAATATTAAAAAATTGAGCAAATATATTTTGAAATTCGTAGTAGAATTTTAATTTTTTAAATTATTTTCTAGATATTAAAATATAGTTCGGAATTGAACGTAAACGGAAAGGGTATTTCGTTTTTTGACAGTCCTATTATTTGACTTTTAATATGAAATTAAAAAACATTTTACTTAATTTTAAAAACGATTAATAATAACCTTCAAATTTTCTTTAGCAATTTTCTAATTTTAACGTTTTTTATAATATCCTTATGCTGCAATTCACAATTCTTCCTTTTTAAAATTCTTTTGCGGGATGTATCCACAGTTGTCTCACATGTAGATGACTTGCCTGGAGAGGGTGAAGGAGTACGTAACCGAATAGATGTGGGGATCATAGCCAGGGTATCACTAAGTATATTTAGATGGTCCTGGTACGGCTGGGTCCATTGATAACTATTTTTAAGAACTGAAAATATATTTTGAGCCCCTCCCTGTCTCATTTGGACCTTTTACAGCCTCTACTTTTCCCATATCAAAAATATTCGACGAAAAAAGTCGTCTCCAAAACTCCCCTCTTGATACACCTATGTCGGTCGAGGTAGTCGTAAAACGCAATACTTCGAAAAATTAAACGATGCGATTTTTAGAGAAAGGGTCTGGTATATTCGAGAACCACCACATATGTAAATAAATAGAATTGTTTTGTCATTTGGATCAATTTAAAGTTAGATATTCGTGTATGCAGATTAATATTGTAACATAAATTGGTATGTAAGTCAAAATGATATAAATTAGTACTTATATAAGTATTGAGTAATAAATTAGGTTATAAAATAAATTACCATCTTAGTGTAAATAAATAAACATTACAATATCAATAAATATGAAATAGAAACTACAAAAAATCCATAATAGCAAGAACAAAAGAGATTTAGGTTCACCTGTTTGCAAAATTTGATTGCCATATTCTTCCATATGTCTCTGTTACTGTTGCCTTCAATGTTCTTCATTTCATTCGAATCCATTTCTTCATCTGGAACACTCAATTCCGGATTCATTTCTAGATCTTCTTTAATATTCGGGTTGTGGAACAAACGCCACCCTTCGTAAAGGGCTGCTTTCCAAGGGTGACCGCACTGCCTGCACAGCTGTAGATAAAAAGATGTTTAGAACTATTATGAAATATGAATTTTTCTACGTAAAACTGAGATGTCTTGAATTTGTAAAGTATATTGTCACAAAAGAAAACAAAATAATTCTGGTATAAAAATAATACTTTCAAAATTTCATAGGTTTTTAAGCAACTTAATTAATACTCCATGACCAATCTAAATTCTCCTAACATTCTAGAAAATAATTACCATGGTTTTAACATATCGTTGGCCTAGAAGCAATAACACGTAAGTACATCTATCAAAAGTTGCGGTTATGAAGAAAAACCATTGTAATAATATAATAAATAATATTATTTATTAATTAACTATTTCAAAAAGTTATATACAACGTTATGTATGACATTTTTACTGTCTTGACCCTTGAATCCTTTCCTTAATTTTTTTTTAAAGCACATACTTGTTATTACTTTTTTTCTTCAGATTTTGTACTTAAGAGGTACCTATTGCTTCTAGGCCATCGATATTCTACTAGTATATCTAGGAAATTATACTTTGTCAGTACCCTAATTACTTACCTTTTGAGCCTCTTCCAACTTCCCACACCGAATTTCATTAAAAATCCTCTCCGACAATCTTTTATCGTCTTCGGCATCCAAATCGTGCAAGGGTCGCTTCTGATGGTTAGGAGCGTCAGGATCCAACTGCGAAACTATCTGCCTGGAACTGCTAAAAGCTATAGTATCGGCGCTCTGCAATTGATGCAATGTGTTCTCCCAACCTACGGTGCTGTCTGAAAACAGCAGAGCTTCGTCATCTCTATCGGCAGCACTGCATTCTAACCAATCTATAATTAACTGACTCTCTCTGACCAGGCTGTCACGTTTGAACAGGTTTTGGACGCACAGTTTCTCTGATTTGCCGAAATATTGTATTAAACCTAGAAGAAATGCATAATGGAACAACAAGAAAATACTCGTTTAACAGAAATGATTATGTCTGCATCAGAAGAGAAGAGAAATTTAATCATATTGGGGGATTTTAACTATCGTGATATTGACTGGAGAACATTAACACTTTCTCAAAACAATGAAGAAGCAAGAAACTTTCTCACCACATACACACAATCGAATTTTAAGCAACTTATTAGCTTTCCAGAAATTACATTATTAATATGCAATAAACAGAGCTCTCTGATTGATCTGCTGCTGGTAAATGACAAAAAGCTAGTCGCCTCAATAAAATCCGAACCTCCAATAGGCTTAAGCGACCAAGTAGTCATTACAGCAATCATTCAGTTAAACCTCAAAACTGGCAGTACTCACAAAGTGCAAAAACGAAATTTTTGGAAAGCAAATTATGAAGCGATCAACAAAGAAATTTCCCAATAGAGTACCCATTTACAAGTAGCAGAGGAAATAACAGTCCTCACGAAACTTTAAAAAACATACTGCACAAAGTAGTAAATGACAATATTCCACAAGAAGTAATAAAGAAAAATCCTGGATCAATCAAACACACTTCAAAGAAATTAATAAAAACATGAAACCTATGGCATAGGTACAGGACAACAAGAGCTGAGGAAGATTATGCTGCATACAGAAATCAGATCAATAAACTTAAAAACTCATTGGCTGTATCTGGAAAAGATTAGGAACATAACCTCTTAAAACCTGTGTGTAAAGAGTACTGAATACAAACAGCACTCGGATCATGATAAGAAACCAAAAAACAAATTTAGAAATCACAGAACCAGTCGAGATAGCCCAAAGATTTGCAGAACAGTTCAGTGCAGCTTACACAACAGAATGATACAGAATCACCGCAAATAACTAGAATAGAAAGAGTTGAGAATAGCATAGTACACAAAGAATTTACCTCAGCAAAAGTGAAATTTTCAATAGATAGTCTTAAACAAGATGCAAGTCCCGGAACAGATGAAATCCCACCCATCTTTTTTAAGAAATGTTCCAGTAGCCTTCTGAATCTCCTTACGACAGTTATGAATGACTCAATGCAAAGACAGGAACTGCCAATGGACTGGAAACAGGCTATAGTTACTCCTATATACAAGAAAAGTGACAAAAAGAATTCCATAAACTACCGACCAGTCAGTCTTACAAACTGTATCGGTAAATCAATGGAAAAGATTATTACAAAAGAAGTAACCGAATTGATGATGGAACACAGAGTTCTACCAAGCAATCAGCATGGTTTTATCCGAGAATACCGATCAAGGAGAAGCGACAGCTTGGTGTTTTCAGTGTACCGTTTGGTAACGCGCATGTGCGAAAATAAGTTGTGTATCACTCAAAATTATGTTATCTGTCAAAGTCAGTCCAAGTTGTGTTTAGTACGTGATCAATTTTAAGTGATATTTTTTGGTGTTTGTTTTGTGTAGTAATAAGATGAAGATTTTTACACACTTAGGTATTCTAATACAGATATAAAATGTGCCAAAAAAGTTATTGGGAAACTAAGAATTTTATCACATGCATAAATATTAAGTATAATGATTTAATCGTTTTTGACATTTTATTTTTCATATGTAGGTATTGTATTTTGTAAAATATATGTTTTTCTTCTTTTAAATAAATTTAATCAACAATGAACTGCAGATTTTGTTTATTTTATTTTGAAATTATATTAAAAAAAATATAATAAATTCGCGTATTTCAATTAGGATTGGTCAAAGTAGGCAAAATAAAATCCCTTTATTATGGCTAAATTCTAAGTCAATTATGTCAATATAAAGATGTTTTGCCCATTCATATTTACATTTATTGAATGAATCATACTGGAGTTGATTTTGGAAATATTGGTGCATACTTAAATAAGTAATATTTCTAAAAATTCGTCTATGCACACATAGTCCAATGGACGTCCACTTTAGATCTATTTGAGGGTCAGGACGTCCATATCCGGGCATCCAGTGTACGTCCGTTTATGCTAATTAAATTGACAGCTGAATATCGATACTCAGAGAACGTCTGTTTTTGTACTTAATTTTAAGTTCAGTAGTATTTTGACGTCCAGTGGACGTCCATCTTAGGTCATTATTTATTAAGCCTACCAGGTAATACCCATCTATATATACTTCTTTTTTTTTTAATATAACTGGTCATTAAAAATTGACAAATTGAATATTGCATTTCATTCTATCAGCGGAAGTTTGAAATCTTATTCAATTATAACTGTATCTAGTAAAAAGTTTTCAAGTGGTTTCTTGGTCGAGCTCGTCTAGCGATTGAAAGCGTAAAACGATAATGGATGTGTCGTGAGTTCGATTCCAGCTCAGGTCAAGCGATTTTTAATAAAAAAATAAATAAATGGTGTATAGCCATTTGCGAAAATAATAAAATTATTAATAATATAAAATAGTATGTGGTGAGTTGCGGTTCTGTAAAAAAGTGGGGATGTGGTCTCAATGGAAATATAATCCTGGACGTTTTTTGAATGTCCAGTATTCGACGTCCAAATATATTCCAGAATTGGACGTCCTCTGAATGGTCAAAAGTGTGCCATTTGTATACTTCACTGGATGTCCATTGGATGTCGGAAGTCCAGAAAACTCATTTTTGGACGTCTAGACATCCAAAATTGTATATCGAATGGAGGTCCAATGGACATATTTGTATTGTCTGGGTAATAGCCAGGCCAGGTATTTAACTCTAAATACATAAACCTTAAATGACATCTGGTTTAACTTGGCGAAAAAACATTTCTACAGAAATGAGTGATAAACTTGGAAGTCCTTTTAATATAATATAAATCTAGAAATTCTAAAAATATGTAAATACTTTTTAAACCTAAAAGCTTTGAAAATATATGCACATTGCAAATATTTAGTTAAACCTCTCGAACTTAATGTCTTTTTAATTGTTACCTAAATTTTTTTTGACACCCTTAATTTTATTTACCTTATATTTAGTTAAGGAAAAGGTAATTTAATTGAAATATGGGGCTTTTATTACATTTTTAACAATAAATAAACCAAATATTGAACAAATTTTATAGATAAATTATAAAATAATAAACGTCTTTTACTTTTATAATAAATAATTAATTATTACATAATGAATTATATTCTGGTGCCGAAATTTCAGCATTGCTATTAACCCTAACTACTTCAATGTAATTAAATCACATTGCACCATTTGCACATGGACTATAACAATAATTTCAGATAATTTGCCAAACTATTTCACTCAGTGTAGAAAATAAGCATGTTTTCTCAGCGTGCTAAGTTGTGTATCAGTCAAAGTCATACTGTGAAAAAGGTACATCCGATATCAATGGCACCGACAGCTACTGTCGCTTCTCCTTGATCGGTATTCTCGGGTTTTATGCCCAAAAGATCTGCTGTTACAAATCTTCTAAGTGCAGTTAACCAGTGAACAGCTTGGAATGACAACAACCAGCCAACTGATGTGATATATCTTGATTATGAGAATACTTTTGATAAAATTCCACGTAGAAGGTGGCTTAGCAAACTGGAACATTTTGGAATAAGAGGCAATCTATTATTGTAGATCAAGAGTTTCATATTCAACCAGCAGTTATGCGTAAGAATAAATGGACAGCTGTCAAAAAACCATCCAGATAAAAGTGGAGTACCACAAGGCTCGGTCTTGGGTTCCCTGTTATTTATTTTATACACCAGCGATTTATGCAAAATCATCGAGTCCGAAGCTAACTTTTATGCAGATGATGGAACACGATCTACTGTAAGCCACTGGAAAGCTTTCACAAAATAAAACAAGGCTTGAATAAAATAGGAATCTGGTCCCAACAATGGCTACTACCTTTCAACATAAACAAGTGTACAGTATTGCACATAGGTCCAAATAATCCCCACACACAGTACACCTTAGATACAAACGCAATTACTCCAGTCAAAACACAAAAGGATCTTGGTGTAACCATGTCTAAAGACAAAATGGGAACCCCACATTGCTAATATAGTGAAGAAAGTCAACAGTCTCATTTACCTTATCAAAAGAGCTTTTAAAGACCATTTCAAAGATATGCTCCTCAAACTATATACAACTTACATAAGACCAAAGATATAATTTGCACAGACCATCTGGGATCCATACTTTGTGAAAGACATTAAACTGCTGGAAAGAATGCAAAGGAGAGTCACCAAAATACCACCAACCCTAAAAAACAATGAGTATTGTGATCGGCTAGCTAAACTACAACTTACACGTTTAAAAGACAGAAGAACTAGAGGAGACTTAATAGAAACTCACAAGTGGACCAGTGGATATTATACTTGTGATAACATCTTCCAGGCCAGAACATCAAGAACCTTGAGAGGTTACTCAAAGAAATTAGATAAAGAAAAGTGTAATAAACTGCAAAGAAAAAATTTCGTAACAAACAGAATTGTATATCTGTGGAATGGTCTCCAGCAACATACAGTCTCAGCCCAGAACATAAACCAGGTTCAAGGCGAGAGTGGATATAGAACTCCAAGAAAGAAAAAATTGTTTTATTCATTATAGTTTATAGTGTATTGGATTTTAACTGTCATGTAGTGATTTAGAATAATTTTTGTCATTAACTAAAGGAGCAGCTTCATCGAATATGTCGCTTGCCTAGTCTAAACAATAATAATAATATGTTTTGGTAATAAAAAGTCTTTTATATTTTTTATTTTTATTGTAACATTTTTACTTTTATTGTACCACTAGTTGGCAGAATACCAGTAGTACATGGCACTTGCCTTTTTAATAATTAATATTAAGATTGATTTATCCATTACATTTCTTAAAATATTTATTTAGATTTAATATCCAGAAGTGCAACTGCCAATTATTATCAATTAATTATTTTTTACTGTGTTATGTATTTATAAGAAATTTTTGTATTTTTGTTCATAAACTTGTAAGCAAGGTAAATTTTTATTATTTCAGATTATGTGTAATTTAAGTT